AGATTACTAGAAAAAACTGGAACGGATCAGGAGCTCATTGTAATTTCTCTACTGAAGAAATGCGCTCAGAAGGGGGTATTAAAGCGATTGAAGCGGTTCGTTTTGTATGGACATTAAAATGAGAACACGATTGAATGATTCAGCAGTCAATTTCCTTTGATTAGAATTTTTTTGATTATTTGATTTATTTAATCCTTTTCTACTATACCCGTAAAAATTACTTACTAACATATACGATAAGTTATAAACTCCCATACCGTTTTGCGTTATTTAGGCTATGACAAAGCTAGCAGCCACCCACAAAGAATGCATTCGTGTTTATGACCCTCATGATGGTGAAGACAACAAGTACAGGTATGATTTCAAAAAATAATGTTAACTGCTTTGTTCTGCTTCTCTGTTCATAGAAAAATATCAATTTGGTTAATATAATAGGAACTCAAGTCAAGTCACGCTAGCGCGTTGAATGAATGCATGATCTAATATACTTATAATAACAAACGAAAGGCTCTAAAAATACCCTTCATTTAGAATTAAAGCAGATTAGTGGTCCTTTAAAAATGTTGGCAGTTTAACACCTGAATAGAATTGTGTTGTATTAAGATGAAAATTTTGGAACCTCTTTTCGAGTTATTTTCCTATCTGCGAAAACAAAAAAGTAAAAGTAGCACTAAAATGTTTTTGCTCTATCATAGTAAGATGTCCAAATAACCAATATTATTATAGTAGTTTGATGTATATAGTTTTGAACAAGACCTGTTCCTCTTGTTGTACTATAAGGCCGAACTCGCAGTCGCAATCTCTTCACGATAATTTTAATTTTTCCTCATTCAGACTAACTGGCAAGCATGAGACAAGCTCGTATGATAAATTCAGTTGGGGAGTGGCCAACCGAGCCGCTTCCGTTCGCTTACCTCGAAGTGTTGTCATTAATAAAAAGGCAAGTAAACTGCATGAGCCGATCGATAGTATATCGTAAGCAAGTGGATGTTCAGGGCTACC